CTGAAGCTTGAACTCAGCTGTACACAGCCCAGTCCAATTTCATAAGCCTTCCAATCCCCAAGTTGTAAACCCTAAGATACTCTCTATAAAGCAACCCTCAAGGTTAAGCCTAAAGCGCAGACCCGGTGGCCTCCCAGGGCGACTCGCCCGCATCCTCGGGCCTGTCCAAATTTCAAATTCAGCTAGTGGTTCGGAGCATTTTGCACCTTCACGATTTAGGGCTTCAGGGCTGAGGGCTGCAGGGCTGTGGGGTTTAGGCACTTAGGATTCAGAGTTCAGGGGTTGGGATCGGGACCTCGGGGAAAAAAGCAGCTGAACCCGGAGTACTCGGACCCTCTTGGGTGGAACCTCGCCAAGATGCCCCTAGCTCTGGGTGGGGATGCAGCGGTTTCTCAGTAGGTTCCCCAAACCCCAGGCCCCACGCAAACCCAAAACCCAAGCTCCTAGCCCTACCTTAACCCCAAATCACCTACCGTTTTACGGACTTATAGAAGGAATTCATACTAAGGAACCCTAAAAAGGTAGGTTCTTTAGGGTCCAGGTAAGCCCTACACCCCAACCCCCAAACCCTACTCGCTACAGGCCAGGCGTGTTGGAGGATCCGTGGCGTTCGGCTTTGCAGGATGAGAAAAATCTTTCTAGGGGCTATTTTCGTGCGCTTGATAAGGGCTGTGGCAAGGTATCACAAGGGTTTCCATGAGGTCTTCGAGTTAGTCATTTACGTAACGGTTTTTTGCACCGAGCGTTTACCAGCTTTGTTTGGCTTCGTAGTGGTTTAATTAAAGGCTGCAGGTGAAGGCTTTACATCCGGAGCTCACGCAGGAAGCTACTCGAAGTCGCGTAAAGCAACTCCAAGCATGAACGACAACCCCGGGAGTTCCGAAAGGCATTCTACGCCACCTTTCAGGTCTAGTAGAACCAGCAGGGCAAAGCACAGCTTAGAGCATCATGAACATAAGCCCTAAAACTTTAGGAATCAATTAATTCTGGAATTCCTCTTATTCCGAATCCCTACATCCCTGAGTAGTCCGCAGACCCACACGCTTTTCGGACATCAGTAGCAATCCCGCACCAACTTGCCGATCAACTGCCAGTGAGTTGGCTCGAGGCGTGCAATATCCACCGTGCAGATGGGCTGCCTCTGAACGAGATAAGTTTGGGGTTTGCAAGGCTGTTGCAAGAGTTTGACGGGGCTTTCTAGGTTCTATGAAGGCGTTAGGATATGGAGCATGGGGACTGAATTGTCGTGCTAAGGGTGCTGGATGTTCTGTGCGATCTACGTACCTATAGGCACTGCATGGTCTCCAGTGTAGGTCCTTGCTTTGGTTGGACATTGCGTAATAAACCAACTCCGTATTTAGGATTCTATAAGATAACCCAAAACAGGAGCTACAATGGAGACCATAGGTACTTCACATCCCAAAGGTACAAGACCCGAGCAGAGAATACTTCAGCTCACCAATTCAGGGCACAGGGACACGGGTTTAGCGCTGACGGCTCAGGGTTGAGGGTTTCTCAGCAATCTCAAGTTCCAGACCGGCATCACCTCTGCTGCATGCACCTGTCATGGCGGTAGTCTCACACATTCGTAGCACGTTTTACCTTGCCGGAACCGGCGTCAGCTCGCGACAAAGCTGTGACAACGACAAGTTACAACAAACTGCAAGACATTAGCACCTCCCGTTGCTTCGAAGCGAGAAGCGGCAAAGCTTTTACATACACAAAGCTGTATACAAAAAGCCTGTAAGACCCTGGGAGGAACCTGAAAACAAGTAATTCGACAACAAAACAAGCGTAAATGTTCTTCGTAGTCCTGTAATTCTAGTATCCTATGATTATGCCCAAACAGCTTGCTCCCATCATTAAGGCCCCTAAGACCCTCACAGCAAACGTTATGCACAGACCACCAAGACCCTGTTTCAAACAACTCGAAACCCCTGACAAACGGCTTCAATAGTCGGGCCTGCACAGTAGGTTGGTTGATGTTTGTCAATTCTACCCCTCTACCCCCTGGCTATACAAGTGTGTATATATACATGCGCATATGTAACATAGACAAATCACATGAATATGAACGAAGAAGTAAGTAAATAAGTAAATACATGCACATGCATATGTAAATCAACAAAAATGTATACACGTTTTTGTATATACACATTTTCGATATACATTGAAGCCCCGGTAGCAACCCAAAATGAAACCCCAAACACCAACCCTCAACACACAACCCCCCCCCCCCCCCGCCCCCCTAACCACTATAAAGACTCTACGCCCGCACAGATGCTTCTGCCAGGCTACGAGCCACGCCGTGGCCGCTGCGCAGCAGTACGCGCGAACCATGCGGCTGTCTGGGACTCGAAGAGACCTGCAGACTGTCTTATACCTGAAGGACCAAAGCAGGGGCCCCATACCCTTATACTATGTATCTCTACTATATAGTATATGAACCTTAAACCCTTTTCAGGTTCAGATCGACCGTCTTATAACGTAGCCTGGTTGCGGGGCTTGACGTAGTTGGAGCTGAGGGTTTAGGGTCTTTCGTTTGGATTGAGGACCTTGGCTCCTGTCTTTTCTGGTGCCCTGTTGGGGCTATATTGAACATGATATGTTCTTAATCCGTTTTGGGTTTTAGTATAGCAAAAATGTATAATTGCAGCCAACAGGAAAGTAGTTGTTGGTCTTCCAGGGTTCCCGGACATATCGGGTTCTAGGTTCGGCTTCCTCGTGGTCCTTTGTGGCTATACCAGGGTTTCGTGCTTGAGGTCCTCGTCTGGGGCTTCACGGTTTAGGGTGCTTTGGGCTAAAATGGATTTTGGACAGGAGTTGTACTTTGGGTTTGGCAGGAGGTCAATCCAACGTATATTGGATTCAGAGTTTAATATTCAGGCTAAACCTCACACGGACGGTTGTAGACTCCAGGCACAAACATCCCAACAACAACAGCCTTGCTGGGTTTTCAGGGCCCCAGACTGGTAGCATGGACCCCTGCTAGACCCACAATCAAAAATCACATGTCCTAAACCCTGAAACCTGGCCGTAACCCTGAAACCTACGTAGCCTTAATTGGCGCCGGGAGTCCGTCCATGTGTTCGCAGACCAAGGGCATCTGCTTGGCAACCTCCATCACTGCCGGCTCAGAAGGGATCCTCGGGTACGGAACCACAGCTGCAGCGAGTCAACGAGGTACACCGACGAACACCCTAATGCCCGAAGACCCCTAACCATAAAAACTGGAAACGCACAAAAGTGCTAAAGCTCTGATACTACATTAAAGTCTTCGACTGGTCCTATACTACCTTGTCCTTGCCTGGCGGGACCATTCACGAAGAGCAACGTGAAGCTAAAACTTTGAACCTTTCAAGCCAAAACATCATGAAAACCTCAATCTAAAACTCCCAAACCCCCCAAACCCCAAACTCTACAATAAATCCCTACAGCCCTAAACCCTAAGCGTTCTTACCCAAGGATCACTGCCCCTTCGGAGCCGGCTGTGAAGTCGGGCCAAGGCTTCCTACAGGCCGTCGCATTCATGACCTGTCGGTTTAGGTAGGGTTTAGGGTTTAGGAAGGTTCTATGAGAGCTTTACAGGGTAATTTAGGTTTAAGAGCTTAAGGATTTGTAAGGGCTCTGTCGAGAGCTTTACGGGGTAGTTTGGGTTTAAGAGTTAAAGTCTTTATAAGGGCTCTGTGAGAGTCTTACAGGGTAGCTTAGGTTTAAGAGCTTAAGGCTTTATAAGGGCTCTGTGATAGCTTTACAGGGCAGTTTAGGTTTAAGAAGTTAAAGCTTTATAAGGGTTCTATGCGGCTGGCATAGGGTAATTTAGTTTGTAGAGGTTAAAGCTTTATAACGATTCTATGAGGCCGGTGTAGGGTGATTTATGGAAATTCAAACGCTTCAGAGTTTAACGCTGTAGAAGGTTTCTATGAGAGTTCTACAGGTTAGTTAAAAAATGGGAAATGGGGCTGTGGTTTTGGGATGTAGGGAGTCTAAACATTCGGGGTTCATGGAGAGTAGCACGCTTGACGTTTTCGTTGAGTTTACACAGAAATTCGAGCTTCTACCGCATGTAAGCTTTCATGAGATTAGCGGTTTGTCGACGGCGTTTCCTCACGGGCGTTGTGTGGCGGGAGGGCTTGCAGGGTTTAGGGCTCATGGGCGTCTAGGGCTGTGGGGTTCAGGGTTTAGGTCTACATTCAGCCCTGCAGCCCTTAATCCTAGACCCTCGGGCGTTTTGCTGGCGTACAGTGATTCAGGATTCAAGGATTAAGGCATTAATTAAGGTAAATAAGGTTCTGTAGGGCTTCCCTAAACCCTATAAACCCCAAAACCCTAAGCTCTGAACCCTGGAGGGCCTGAACCCTTAACCCTAAGCCCCAAACCCTAAGCCCTAAACCCCAAACCCCAAAAACCCCAAACCCTAAAAACCCTAAGCCCTATAAACCCTGGAGGGAGGGGGGGGGCTTATGGAAATTACGGGCGTTCGAGGCTCCGGGCTTCCTACGACTTGGGGGCTCGCCGGGGTTCTTTTGGGCTCCTGAGGATCATCTCCCTTCAAGACGAAATGAAACCTTAAATGATGTTAGGGTTTAGGGTTTAGGGACCCTATACCCTAAACCCTAAAAGGGTTTAAGGTTCATATACTATATAGGGATTAATAGTATAAGGGTATAGGTCCCCTACTTTTCAGGGTCATTTGGTCCTTACAGGTCGGCTTCAAGGCGCGTTTTGGACTCTCGCGTTCAGGGCTGGTGGCTTCTGGGTGAGGTTTAGGTCTAGCTTTCGGGAACTGTCGGGCGTAGGTGGATCAATCATCTAAGGCTTATCAGGCCCAGGCAGTATCGAAAATCGAGATAAACGCTTTCTTTTGGCATAGTCTCTGGGCCATAGCACATTGTAGAGTCCGTGGACCGGAATTCTGCATTTCTTTGCACCCTCTGTCTAAACTGGCCCAACCCCTTATGCCCATATTATAAGAACCCCATAAAGCAACCTTAGCTAGCCTGCTTCGCGAGGTAGAAGTTCCGCGCCAGAATTGTCACATCCACAGCCGCATGGGGCGGCGACGTGTTTTTGCCTGCCGTTCGGCTGTTGCCGCTGTTGGAGTGTGTACGGTTTTTGTTGGGCCGCTAATGCAAGAAGTTTGGTGGGGTGGACAGTACTCTAAGGATACTCCCTAATCCCTATGACGCTTAACTCGTAATACCCCGTAAGATACCCTACAAGCTCCATAATCATCCCTGTCATGAGCCCTATGTCACCCAGTTGCTCTTCGCCGACTTGCCATTCAGGGTATCTCTGCAGTTGACCCATGACTGCCCTGTGCGGCGGAGAGTGGCGTTGCAAATGACGTAGGCTGCAATACTGCAGTTCACCTGAAGTAGGGTCTGGGCTCAGGGTTTAGTCTTTGTAGTCTATGTGACCCTAAACCCTAAACGCTATACCTCAAACTTCCTTAAACCCTAAACCCAAAGTCCTAAACCCCAAACCCTAGACCCTAGTCAAAACAGAAGCCCTCAACCCTAAACAGCCTATAATAAACCTTGGAGCACCTTTTGTAGAAACGCCACGTCACCTCTTTCAGGTAGTCGTAGGATGCTGCATCGACAGAATCGGGAAACTGAGCAGTCAGCGTATTCAGAAGCTGTAGCTGAAGGTCGGAATCTCCATGCTCATCTGGAGTTGCCGCTCCGGCGATGGCTGCAAGAAAAGACTTCCAGGTCTGCAGATTGGTACCTTCGTCCCAGAAGTTCGTACGAACGTAAAGCTCTCCAACAGCACATGGATCTCCTGAATCCTTAAACCCACGAGGATCTGCCAAACTATGTGCTATATGGCCCATGGAGCGAACAGTTATCTTTTCTTAAAATACAGCGAGTAAGGCCAACACGGCCAAAGGATTCCGGGGTCCCTAAACTGCGAACACTAAAATGCAACACAAACCCGGACAAAAGAGGCTTCGGGGTTAGGTATTATTTGGCCCATCTAAACCCCTAAACCCTGCACTCCAAGCCGCTGCTCATCTTGCTGATCTGCACCCACATGGATGCCTGGTCTCGGAAGTAACAATTGGCGACCAAGTGGACGAAGTCTCAACTTCAAGTTCATTCGGAAATGTTTTCTACGAGCCACCAGTGAGAGAAAGCCGGAACTTGCAGTGAAAAATGTTCTCTATGAGCAAAACAACCCCGAGAAACACAACACCTACAAGAGTAGGAACAAGGCAAAGAGCTACCCAAAGGGCTCTAAGGAGCTAAGAAGCCTACCATTGCCCTACTCCCTAAACCTAACCCCTGGACCCAACAAAAAAGCCTAATATACGGGGCCGTAAGTACTAGTTAGCATAGGGCTTGGGAGTATATTCTACAGTAATTGTAATAACGAGCCCCCAAAGTCCTATTCTTATATTATTATTAGGCCCCTACATTAAGCCGCAGAGCCCAGATGCTATCCAGGATGTGGGCTCCCGGTGAAGAGCGACCACAGAAAAGCAGACATCTGCGTCAAACAGTGTCTTGAAGAATGTCCTTGCTTTGCCGGTAGTCGGGGCTCATAGGGGTGCATCAGGGATGTATAGGACTTGATTTAGGTCGGAAGAACTTCCTTCATTCAGGCGTGAGGTCAGGTCTGAGGGGTTAAGGTTGGCAAGGCTGTGTTTTGCTTATAGCTTAGAGCTTCGGGGTGCTAAGGGTTTGCAGAGCTCCCTTCAAGTTCGGGCTTACGGGATTCAGGCTGCGGAGAAGGGATGCCTAGGCTGAGGCAGTTTGCAATGCGACTTTAGGTCGTCACGAGTGGTGGAATCAGGAGCAGATTAGTCAGGGTGATCGGCGGTGGTCTATGTATGTGTATGTATGTACGTACGTATGTACGCATGTACGTGTGTAGGTATGTATACGTACGTACGTATGTACGTACATATGTATGTATGTATGTATGTATGTATGTGTGTATGTATGTATGTGTGTATGTATGTATGTAGGTACGTATGTATGTATGTAGGTA